AGCGATGATTGTGTACACTGTTTTTGCAGATGCTGTATCAGCAACAGAGAGTGAGAGTGTTTGGGGTTGTTGTCAAAACTTTGTAGAGTTGAATGTACCAATCAATGGTAGACTTTGTACCAAACAGGTGCTAGCAAGTGAGCTTACTCAAAAAGCTTGATATGCACTTAGTGAGATTCATAATTTTTAAAAAAATTTCTTTTTTGTCTTATTACTTGTTAATAAATTAGTTAAATAAATAAAATAATGTAGTTGTTATTTATTCGCCGTGACTGGTATGTTTTTACTTTGAAATTAATAAAACTAAATTACAAATGTTCCAAATGTGCTCAGAAATCTTGTATTGAAGACATGGAGACATTTTTCTGGTCTCATTTGCTTCTGAAGAAATCAATTTTGTCGCAGTTCTGTGAGTCTCCAGACTTTCCCCTTCTGGAATATTCCCTGTATCACAGAAGCTATTTTTTGGCAGAATATCAGACTCCGCTTTCACCCCATCTCGACACTCTGGCTATAATGGATTCTGATTACATCTGCTAACCAAATCCCAGGTAATTGCATGTATTTCCTCTAGGGATAAGATATTGTTTATATAATTTTTTCCTGTATGCATTTTGTTTTGTGTCTGATAAGAGAGTGCAAGAAAAACAATTTCTTCCCATTGAATAAAACCAGAAATTCTGCGATGATAAGTTCTTGTAGCTGTATATATTTCTGATGTATTATGATTGCGAGTTCTTGTAGCTGTATATTTCTGATGTATTGTGATTTGTGATGTGCTGGAGAATATTCCATTTCGACTGTGATGTCTGTAAATCAGGAATAAGCAGTATACATTGCATGCTGTCTTAAAATTGGCTTTGACATAGGGGGCCATTAAAATTTCAAGTGACAAAACTCTACTCTGTGAATAAATGGAAAATGGGAAGCAAAGAATCAAATTTGTAGAGTATCAAATATAAAATTATATAATTAAAACTTTCTTATACTTTTATACTTATAGGAAAAATATACATGTATAAGGAGGGAATTCCTTTTGTCATATTTCCAGGAACAGAAAACTTTTGTGCTACAAAAATAAAAGAAATTTGCCAAACATGAAAAAACTTTTTTTTTAAGCTAGAAAAGAACAAATTTATCTTTCTTAAACATCAGATCTTAAGATTCACTTTTCCTCTTTCCCTGAAAGGGGGAAGGGGGGATCCAAGTCATTTTCAGTCTAATTTACTAATGGAATAACATTGAAAATGGAGGGGGCTGGCCCCCTTGCTTGATCCATCTCAGTAATAGCCATATTAAAATGTTTTAATTTCATGTTTATTTATGAATGAAATTTAAAAATATTGAGACTTGTACACATTTGTGTGTATAAATATTTCTCTCTCCGTGCATATTGAACTCCCCCTCTCTTTATGAATTTGGTCAGCTGGGTCTAGTCTGACAGACAACACCAGACATATTCCCTGGCTTGGAAAGATATAGAATGGAATGTCATAATTAATCTTTTTGGGTTTGTGTAGTCATGTAAGCCATGGCATCTTATCTATGTACAGGTGTGTATTAGCCTCAGTTAAAACTGATAATTCAGCAATTTGATGAGTTTAAAGATTTTTTTTTGTGTGTATGGAACTCCTTTTATTTGCGAGTGTGGCTTAAAGTGGTTTGTGTGGGCGATTGATTTATTTCTAAAAATAATATTTTTCTGTATTCATAAAATAATGACATTGCTGTGCATATAAGAGTATAAAGGATATATTTGATAATTTCTCCAAAGAATTATGTACATGTTTGACATGTTTTGCTATTTACAGTCCATAAAGGGGTTCAGAATTGCTTTTAAATTGCTTGCAGTTCATATATACTTTTTAGCATTAATAATTCATAGTAAAACTCTAGATTGTCAATATATGTGTCAGCTTTACTGTATTTACGAATGGATTGTTTAAAAAAACATAAAAGGATATGAGTTTAATTAAGACCTTCGAAAGCCCAACTTTGGATTGATTGATTCATTAGTTTTGTACTCAGAATTAGAATTATCCAGTAGATTTTAGAGACCACCAGCCCTTTGCATTGTAAACAATTTTCCATCATGTACTTGAGGCCATCATTAAAAATATCTTTGTTTCCCTTACCCTCAGAGCCAAAATCAATCTTATGTTGGATAAGTAGGCATGCAAAGACATTCTGAAATTAAATTTAATAACAATAACAAAATTAAACAGTTTTGAAGCAAAATATCAAACAAATGGAATGTAAAACAAAATTTTACAGTAAATTAATTAATTCACAACCAGTCTAATATTCAAAAGTTTTTTTGGGTCGCATTGTACCTTTGGTCCTGTGTACTCAAGGAACACACCGGACTGAACCAAATTTTGTCAGACAGAAAAACCTAATGTAAGAAAGTGAAACACGTGAAAATGCAGTCAAGGAAATCTCAAGTCCATGCAGTTTTAATCACACTCATACTTGGATTTGTGCAATATTTTTTTCTTAAAACAAACGTTTTTATGACTCCTTGTCAAAATAGTAAAACTGCAAACTGGACACTGAGAATTCAGTCCAGTTAAAACACAAAAGCATCAGACCAGAGGCAATGTAGGTTGGACAAGTCCGATGGTCCAATGTCTTTCGGAAAGACTGCAACTATTGTTTAATTGAACTCCTGTGTCACAGTAGATGTTGGCACAAAAAAATTCTGATACTGCTCAATTGAGAGACTTAAAGCAGACAAACAACCAATCTTCAAAGGGCCTAATTAAAGAGTGCGTTAGACATATGAAGAATACTGGCTAACAAGCTGTACAACAAATTATTTTTTAAAATTTCAAAACCCATTTGGAAAGTAAAGGATATAAACAATAATAAATTGAACCTATCATGGAAGAAATTATATCTGTAAACAGAAAGGATCTTCTAAAACTCAAAAATGAAAAATGATAAAAATGTGCAAAAATATTTAATTTAGCTCATTAATGCCAGTAGTTTAATTTTTAGCTCTACTGGTCAGAGACCAGAAGAGCTTATGCGATAGTAAGGTGTCCGTCGTCCGTCCGTCTGTCTGTCTGTCTGTCTGTCTGTCTGTCTGTCCGTCTGTCTGTAAACAATTTTTCAAAACGCTACTCCTCCTACACTTTTGGTCCGATTTCAATATAACTTGGCACACAAGTAGACTACACTAAGATACATAATTTAGTGCATCGGTTTTTGATTTCGATGGACGGTGTTGCCATGGTTACTAAAAATAGAAATTTCTGTGAAATTCCTTTAAAACGCTACTCCTCCTATAGTTTTGGTCCGATTTCAATATAACTTGGCACACAAGTAGACTACACTAAGATATATAATTTAGTGCATCGGTTTTTGATTTCGATGGACGGTGTTGCCATGGTTACTAAAAATAGAAATTTCTGTGAAATTCCTTTAAAACGCTACTCCTCCTACAGTTTTGGTCTGATTTCAATATAACTTGGCACACAAGTAGACTACACTAAGATACATAATTTAGTGCATCGGTTTTTGATTTCAATGAACGGTGTTGCCATGGTTACTAAAAATAGAAATTTCTGTGAAATTCCTTTAAAACGCTACTCCTCCTACAGTTTTGGTCTGATTTCAATATAACTTGGCACACAAGTAGACTACACTAAGATACATAATTTAGTGCATCGGTTTTTGATTTCGATGGACGGTGTTGCCATGGTCACTAAAAATAGAAATTTCTGTGAAATTCCTTTAAAACGCTACTCCTCCTACAGTTTTGGTCCGATTTCAATATAACTTGGCACACAAATAGACTACACTAAGATACATAATTAAGTGCATCGGTTTTTGATTTCGATGGAAGGTGTTGCCATGGTTACTAAAAATAGAAATTTCTGTGAAATTCCTTTTAAAAGCTACTCCTCCTACAGTTTTGGTCCGATTTCAATATAACTTGGCACACAAGTAGACTACACTAAGATATATAATTTATTGCATCGGTTTTTGAATTCAATGGACGGTGTTGCCATGGTTACTAAAAATAGAAATTTCTGTGAAATTCCTTTAAAACGCTACTCCTCCTACAGTTTTGGTCCGATTTCAATATAACTTGGCACACAAGTACACTACACTAAGATGCATAATTTATTGCATCGGTTTTTGAATTCAATGGACGGTGTTGCCATGGTTACTAAAAATAGAAATTTCTGTGAAATTCCTTTAAAACGCTACTCCTCCTACAGTTTTAGTCTGCTTCTAATATAATTAGGCATACAAGAAGACTATACTAAGATACATAATTTATTGCATTGGTTTTTGAATTCGATGAACAGTGTTGCCATGGTTACTTAAAATAGAAATTTCTGTGAAATTCCTTTAAAACGTTACTCCTCCTACAATTTTGGTCTGATTTCAATCTAATTTGGCACACAGTTAGAATACACTACGATACATAATATGTATTTCTGTTTTTTTTATTTGGGTGAATGGTGTTGTCATGGTTACCGGTACTAAAAATAGAAATTTCCGTGAAATACTTTCAAAACGCTACTCCTCCTAGTTTTCATTTGATTTCAATATAACTTGTCACAAAAGTAGACTACATTAAGATACATAATTCTATTTATTGTTGCATGTTGCAATGTTTCAAATCCAAGTGCTACTTTTCTTTTGTTATACAAACAGACCAGTAGAGCTACAGTCTCATCAGAGACTTCTGGTTGCAAATCTAAGTATGAAGTTTATAATGGCATTTTCCTTGTGTAGTGTCTGAAGTAAATAAATATACTAGTACCACAGATCAGGAAGTGAAATGGACTGAAAATGATGATATATATACTTATTTTTACTTAATTTTTCTGGAAGAGGATGTATATCATTTTTCAAAATTTTTTTTAAATGACATTCGTCTCTTTAATCTTTTCATTTTCAAGTAGCCAATGCTTCAAGGAAGACCAAAATAAAACATGGTTGTGTAATTTCACTTTGTTATTTGGATGTCATTTTACTTTCAGACTGTGAAGCGCCATTCCTCCTTCCAAGACAGTGTCAACCGATTGGCCATAAGACATGACCGGTTCATGAGAAGGCTCTCAGATTCTTTATACAATGCCAGGTAGGTAACCAACGGTCATTAAAGAGATTTTCACAGGAAGCTAATTAAAATATGTCTGGGAATGTTTGTAAATGTATTTATACTCATAAAATTTCTTTGAAATATTTTAAGACCAATTTCACTACTATAGGTACGTTTTTGTAATTGAATGAAGAGAAATGGTCTAACTTGAGGACGCGCGAATAAACATTCGTGTAATAGTTGATCGGATCTGTCTGTAACGGATCATTTCTATTAAATATTTCTGATCAGCTGCCCTGTGTCTTATGCCAGGACATGCCATCTCAAATAAATTCACCTTATAGGTCTTGTCATCTTATTACTATATAAAATTTCATGGAGCACAGGTTCATTTTCAGTTCATCCACCAGTGAATCTTAAGGTTCATTGTAAACAATTCCTACAAATGTGAGACCAGGGCTGCATCAGTTCATTGAGTACTGGGTACTTTCCTTGATCTAGAAGACTTGAAGACCATGAATCATGTAAAAAGATTTGCAAAAAAATGACGTTTTATTATAATTATGTTAAAAAGGAGTATAGAAATTTACTTTGCTAGAGAATATTTGACCAGCTGGTTTGTTTACCAATAAGAAGAGATGCCTCTCCATGCCAGAGGGGAAAGAAATTAAATGGTCAAATGATTGATGGAAAAAGAAATAATTACCAGCCTGTTTTAACTGACACCCCCATAGAGTGATGGATGAGTTGTGCCCATAAATAAGGCTTTGGATCATCTTCAAATTACAGATGCAGGGCTCAAATAACAAAACACTTTCTTCATGTTTACATGAATATTATTTGGAGGGGAAAACATTTTCTTATTTAGATTTGTATGAATTGTATTTTGATATTATGTTTTCACCTCATATCTATTTATGAAAGAATTAACACTTCCATTTGTGCAAAAATTTATTGATATTCTCCTAGAGGAGTTGATGTTGACATATAACTTGTTAACCCACATGAGAACATCGATCATAATTTCATAAACATGTTTCCACAAATAAATCCTTTTATAACTATATCAGTATAACTGTTTATAGACAATCTAATCCAGAGTACAAAACAGGAAATTTCCCATTCACCAGACAACAAAGTAATCAATACAACATAGTCATCCTGCCTGATTTTAGGACACAAGATGAGCTCTCCCCACACACCAATATACTCTTTTTGAAATGGGTTTCATGGTCAAAGTGTCATCATTTACTTATATTTTTAGATGTATCTGATGTACAATGTAGTCTAATTTCCCTGAGGCTCTTATGTATTTAATGAATCATCAAAATCTACCTGTCTGCAGGGCTTTCCATGAATATTTATCATTAGCCAAGCTCTTAACTTCTACTTTTTCCTTTGAATTGTGACAGTCTCTCTCTCAGTCTTGGAACCGTAAGGTTTCCTGCTCTCTGGAAAATTTTCCATGGAATTTTATGGAATATTGTAATTCAGTGATCTGATGCTCTTGAACTGGAGAGAGGTTATGGAAACCCTATTATGTAGACTTGCATCATTTATTGATCTGTGAATATTGATTTGCTCCACATTTCTTGGCATTGTGTTTTAATTTATTCAAGACAAAATAATGCATCATCAGACTATTGGATAGGGAGCAAACAAAGAAAAGATTCTGAGGGGAGACCACTCCCAGGCAAGGACAAATATTTTGAGTTTATTAGTGTGTTTCGTTTTTGAGACAAACTTTTGGAGTAATGCTTTTATTTTAGAATGTTACAACTTGAATGGTTCATGCAGTGTATGCAGATTTTTAAATAGATTCCCCAAATCTGGAATATTTCATTTTTAGCCTTTTGAAGTAGAGGTATTTTCTGCATCATTGGAGTGTTTAGGTGTTTGGTTTTAAATTTGATATGCAGGAGTGTTTATAAGGAGTACAACTTTTGGACCTGAGGGCAGACAAGCTCATACAACATTACCGTACAGGTAAAACTTGTTATTGTTATCATTTGCCAGCACACTCGTCCTACGTGAAAAGTTCTGTCCATCTGTCATGCAACCCACATAGACACATTATATCAGAGAAGTGTATACCCTTTTTATTGCCTACAGTGGATTAATTTAGGTGAACTGAATATTAATGTTTGAAAGGTGAAAAAAGTGTATTCGTAAGAAGGCTTTGTGTATTAATTTAGACAGTGTACTTGATTATGGACTCTTTCAACATGTTAAACACGAGGTGTTGAAGGGGAAGCATATACAGGTGTTGAAGGGAAAGCATGGTCCCAGAGATATTGGGATTTTCTGCTCCTTGTTCTTAGATTTTTTAATTATGATGGAAAGTAATGTAGATTTTTCTTTTCAAAACAGTGAATTTCTACAAAGGATTTAACCAATGAGGATTAGATGACGTACTATAAGTTTGTTTGTCAGATACAAACTAGAAATAGACACATCAGATTCAGATGGCTTCTAGATACGATATTTGAAGATGAACATTGTATTTATTTATGGAACATGATGAATTGTATTGTTAATATCATTTTGAAGTCACGATATGAACATCTGGTCCTTTTATGAGAATCTGTTTTTTTCTTAAACCTACACGTGTTGCCAGTGATTTCTGGTGATTTGATAGTCCTGCTCTGAATTGAAATTCAGTGCCAGTTTGGGATGAATTTTCTAGTCAGTTTGGGAACATGTACCTGTGTCAGCCAGAGAAAAGCCTGGATAGATGAAATGAACGAGGAGGACAAGCCATTAGACAGGTAAATAATGTTCCTATAAATGTGTGTAATTTGGTATAAAGTGGCCCACAGAGGATTGGTCTCATTTACAAGACTTGTGGTTTTAACCCACTAGTTTCATTGAGAAAACAAGTTGGATATGGAAGATTATCCAGTCAGCTGTTTTAACTTTTCTTTAGCTGCAGAACTGTAGCGTTATGGTTTTATATTTTAATCTTTGACATTATGCTACAGATCCCGTAATGCAAATATGGTGCAATTTATGGTGCAAGATTTTCTGTGCACTTTGGGGATGTATTTCGCCACTTTCCAGCATTGGTCAATCAGTGACCTTTCATTCCCTAATTCTAGACATATTCTATAACAAACCTTTATATTTCACCCACCTTCTAACCCTTTATAGTTGTCTCTAGATATATAGTACACTGGTCCAGGAATACTCAGTTCTGTAAACCAACAGTTAAATATTTTTACTGTCTGAAGTTTTCCTCCATTTTTGAATTAGAAAAATTTTGATATTATTGTTACAATTCAATCATGCTTGACACGAGTATGACTTTGTGATATACAAAACAAAAAATTATAACAATGACACAGTTCTATATTTAGTATATTTCTATATAGATCATTTTTTGCAAACCTTCCTTGTAAAATTTTCTATTTTGTCACATGATGTTGTGCTATAAAGTTCAGAGGAAGTACTTGAGAATGAGTAATGTAATCCAATCCACTACCATGTATGTGTTCTAAATTACATCAACTTGAAATGTTATGTATATAAGATGTGGTAATAGTGCAGTTGGATCAAAGATTAATCTGGACCCACTGCAGATATTTTAGTGTTTTTCTAAACCTTGCAGAGGATGGGACTTTTTGATACCATTTTGTAAGTCAATGCAACATTATTTCTGTCATGTTTTATTTGAGTAAGACTAAGTACTTATCCCCCACATTATGATACCTGTTGCAATTCTGCATGCAATATAATCATAAGATTCAGGATGATGCCTGGTTATTTTGACAACTCTCAGATGTTGCATGGTTGACCTATAAAGCTGCTACTTGTTTATGACATACCACACATACATAGCATCATTAGGTGTCATATTTTGGTACAATAAATCATTGGTCTGTACTGATGATTATATCTAAATTTTATATTTATATAATGCTCATTTATATGTCTGTTTATTGTAGAGGTTACTTCTCGTATACAGTTAAGACTATGTAGTGTTGAAACATTTCAATCGGTGTAAGAAAATTCAGCATGACTATGAACATATATATATAATTTTATATAAATATTTTATTATTTGTATATATATATACATTGTATATATATATTTAATAACAGCATTAAGTTAGGTCAGGACAGGGTTGTAGTAATTAATCTATCAAATACACATTCCCTGTGTAATGAGTGGGCTAATAAATGTTTTAGTGATGATAAATTGTTTTCTGTGGAACAAGATGAATAGTCACCAGATAGATATATAATTATTTACTTGTGAATCAAAATTTTTGGTTAATATATTTCAAAGGCTGCTAAACAAAACTTAAAATTACCATACCAAACAAACACATATAGCAGAGTCCCAATATGGCACGTACGTCATGCACCTTTTTGTTTAGCCTTATTGACAAAAAGGAAGCCAGTTAAAGTTCTTTTTTTTTAAATTTGTTACTGATAATTAAGTAGCACCAGTCTAGACAAAACGGTCCCATCCTTTTCTCTAAGACTGTGCAGCAGTGCATGCATGTTCCAAAAAGATCGAAACATCCAATACCCAGTGCAGCCTTGTATTATTGATTTTTTTTTCATAGAATGCAGGACTTTAGTGCATATAAAGGTTTTCATTACAATGTACATTTATCAAGGAGAATCTCCACAGAGGAGATTGGAAAGTCTAGAAGCCTGAACTATAGTGTTAACATCTCTGACAGTTCTCAGGAACTCCCAGATTTCCTCTGTTATTAGATGCTGACCAGACATAGGTGTTTTTGTAAGGGAGATAAGTCTGGCTATTTAGTGGTAACAAAACATCCAAATCAGCCTGTACATTGTGGTAACACAACTTTAAACAACAGTCTTATATAGGATTTCTTTATCTTTAATAAAAACTATGTTCTGTTTCGTTGAACGCAGTTTTAAAAACAAAATGTTTCGTAGGTGTTCAGTGTTGGCATTTCATTTATCAGATGGATGTTTTTTTTTTTTTGAAGTGTTCAAAAATGGAGTGAGTATACATTCATAGAGAACAGTTATATAAAAAAAGCCTTTGTTCTTTTTAAATAGATGGGATAACGGTAAAATGAACATACCCCACCGGATTTTAACACCGGACGACCCAGACACTGGTATTCCTGGTAAATACACAGAGAGTGATTCCAGTACAGAGTTCATTACCACCCCCCAGTCCTCCTATGGAGATGTAAGTAAACAAATTACTTTACTGGATTTCTTAATCTACTTGAGCACTGATGTGTGCTTGACATGAGGACCTAGCTTAATTGCCTAGAAATCTGGTGATTTCTGAGAAAATAAGTCTTTTAGTATATGTGCTGCAGTACCACATAGTTTTAAGTGGCTACTGTTTTCTACACCATTGTACATTCCTGTAATCAGATATTTTGAGTATTTTAAATTATTAAAAATGTTGTGGTCCTGTGTATGCACTTACAAATAGAGTTTGATCATGATATGTGTAGGTTGAGGGAAAAAGACATGCTGGTACACTTCACTTGTTTCTGTTGAAAAATTTAGTTACTCTTTTTTTTTCCAAGGACAAAATACTTCAGTGATAGATAGAGATGAAAAAGAAACAAACAGTCTGTTGAAGAGACATCACATGAGGAAGTTTAGCTCTACAGACATAGTAAAGTAGGAATCTGCTTAACAAATGAAGATTTGTGAACAGGTTTCCTGAGTGAGCATCTTATGCCACTTTTGGATTGTTGAGGAGACATAAATGAGTCTGAATCATAAATATCTCCTTATATAAGCTCTCCAGGTTTGTCAGATGCTAATGGACCTTTGATTACTTGGACATGGCCTGTTAAGTTTTATGTTACATGGCTTAGAGGTAGCCAACAAATGATTATACAGTACCTACCAGATATATATACAACCTTATGTTATTGCAGGTGCTTGCTGTCCTTGCATAAGGTGGATACATTAACATTCACATAGATAAAGATATTTATACACCAGCTGATTCTTTATTCCTGATCACATTCTATAAACATCTACATATTGGGGACCTCAATCTCTATATTATAACAAGGTAGGGGTCACCATCAGCTGCACATACAGAGAAGACAAACCCTGGGAGGATGATGACACCTCCATTATTTATGGACTAAATTATCTTTGTGAACTCATTACTGACCCCATATTTATCCTGAAGGGACAGTTTGAAAATACACTTGTCCTAAAGGGACAGTTTGAGTATAAAAGACTTGCTGCAATATACCAGGTGTAGAGAAATACTTGTATTGTGTTCATTAATTGGTTTATACATACAATTTGTACAGCTGAGTATGGAAAATCAAATAAAATTAATGTGTTTCCTGAAATTGATAAAGTGCTTATAATCATTATATCCTTCATTGCTACATCAATGTTAAAAAAGAGCATTATGAATCTTAATTGATTTTTTTGTTTATTTTTGTAACCCCCCCCCCCCCCCCATGGTGCCACCCTCACCCCCCCCCCCCCCCAAAAAAAAAAAACAAAACAAACAAAAAGAGACAGGGACAGCTACTCCCTTTAACCTCAAATTGACCATGCAGTCAGGAAGATTAATTATTTCACAGAATGTCAAATAACTTTTTTTTAATTACAAATTATGAAATTCAAAACTAAAGTATTAAATTCCAATTAATCTCTACATTTATGGTTATATATATACTGCAATTGATGGGGCAATAATGTTTTAGTATCTCATTCCATTTGCTGACAATTTAATATACATCATGAATATTATAGTTATGTACAATGTAGATATATACATACATAATACAGTGCAATTTAATTGATAACATACTTGTGTGCTTTTACCATTTATAATTTGTATTGTTTGTGTAATTTTTATCATCACACCTTTGTTTAAAATCATCTGTTATCAGTGCTTTGATCACAGACCTATAATTATCTTAACTACAAAATAAGAGGCTAATCAGTTAATTACAGTTAATTTATCACAAGTTAAACTTCCCCAGGGGGAAAGTCTCTGTTAAGATTGTCTGCAGTGAGGACACCCCACTGTTAATCTCTCATCTCGCCACACTTGAAGCACTGAAACCTTTCACACTAAGTGGTCAGCATAATTCCCTTTGAGTGGCCTCAGTGTTCACAACTTTGATCTGTGATTGGCCTCAAATTCATTGTCTGGCAGGAAGAATCCATACCAGATTGAGGCTGATTTAGCCATTCCTTGCTATTTGTTTACACTGCTTTCTAGGTCATGCAAGCATGACTTGCTGTGAATGCTCCTTTCTAGGTCAATGATCATTGGACAGTTTAAAAATTCACTCGGAGACAGTGTGATCTTACTCAGGATTAATTCCATTACCAGTGTTGTTTGTTGCCTTTTTTGTCAGCAATCTGTGAGATATCTTTTAGATTCTTCGAAGGACCTTTAGGAAATCATTGATTTTTCCTGTCCAAGCTTTCTTTGAAAACTTTCTGGGGTAGATAAAGATGGCTAGATGACCCTTGATCCCCTGTGAGAATCAATTTAATGTGAGAAATAAAGGAATCAAGATGACCATGGGTTGGGAACAGGTAAGTAATTGACACCTTTGTGAGTTATTTATGAAGGTCCTGCTGGTATACATTATTTGAGGTACAATTAATTGTATGTAGAATGTACAGGTGTTCACTAGTTTGTTTACAGGTGAAAGCATTGGAGGAAAGAAAGAGAGAGAGGGAGGGTTTTTTCTCAGTCAAAGGCTTTAATTATTGATGGAATACATACACCAAGTGTTCAGGGTTATACAGTGACCAATGAAATCAGGAAATGAATACTTGAATAAGTATGTTAAAATAAAAGCTGGTGGTTTATATACAAGTAATCCTTCCTGTGTATGTATGTGTTTGTTGTTGACCCCCACTTCTGAACTTGTGAGCTTTGTTTAACCCTGGTTGTAATCTTCTTATATGTCCAGCCTAATTCTAAAGAGCTATGCTTAATTCCAACCAGATGTGCCACATGTAGATTCTTATGTAAATGAGTTGTTATACAAATCAATTTATCATTAGTGTATAGAGGAAGGGGCTTTGTCTGCATGGTATTTTAATGATTTAAGGAATGACTATACCTTTCAAATAAATAAAACAAATGAGAAAAATTTTTTTTTTCAAAACACATCTATAAAGTTTAGATGATTTGGTAAAATTATTGGAACAGGTCCATTTCCCAATTACCTGTTAGCCCTACCTGGGCTAGATCTGCATGGATGATGTCTGTAGGAATGCACAGTACCAGTAAAGCTGCATATGACCTGAGTTACCAGGTTAAAGTTAATGAAGCAACTGGAACCAAAGTTGTATTGGATAATGCATATATATACACTGTGGGGTAGTGCTGCACAATAATATCGATATTCCAGTATATTGTGATTTGTTGACAAAAATACCATATTGCAATACATTTTTTGTTGTATCGGCCAGTATACCAGTAAAATGCTTGCACTTGGAATTTCTATTTAAAAGTAAATTATAAAATTTAAGATGCCAGAAATGTTTTCAATCATGCAAAATTGTAAGGTTGTTGTTGTATGCATGGTTGCATTTCATTGCAAAACTGTAGTTAAATCAACAAGAACTTTTTTGTTACAACATTGTAAGCATTAAAAAATGGATTTATTTTTGCAAGTTGTAAAAATACACATTCAAAAAAATTGTAGGCAATATACAGAACAAAAAAGTTGAGGAATATAGTACACTAATATACTTGATACAAGATATGACTTTAATTCAACCAAGCTGACATACACCATACAAATATTGTGTTCAACTGTTGTATCATCAATATATGCTGTTTCTGCAGACTCTGTATTATCAGTGTATGGAACAGAATGCCGAGATCTTTGACTTCTATATCTTACAAAAGTTCTGATGACTATGACGTCATGCATGACAGGAGGGGTTGTAGAAGAGACCATTTACATTATCATACAACAGTAAAAATAAGTCTCTGTTAAACATGTGTGGGGTGATAAGATACAAAGAATGTGTCAATCTTATAAATTTGGAAGGTCAGGCCTGGAGAACTTATAATACAGTCAGAGAATGTATTGTGAAAGTGTGTATTGTGAAAGCTGTTGATTATTTCTTTCACTTTCATATCATCTTCAACAGGAGAAATACTGCAAAAAATGACTTGATTCAAATATATAAATAAGACATTTGACAGATGCAGTAAATAAAGTAATTATGTATAAAAAATATATTATAAAAGTGTATGAGTTTATGTCCTCTTGTACATTGACAATTGTATTACTGGTACGTATACTGTAAATAAAGGAAGGTATTTACATGTGATACCAATCCAAAGCTGCAAATTTTCAGGAGATAATTAGCTGCTAAAGAATTTATAGGAGGGGGGGGGGGGGTTGAAATGAAGTAACACAGTACTTGTACTCATTTATAAAACATGAACTAGGTCTTAATTAGTATGGATTTAAAGTATCATGCACTATCAGCTGACAAGGACAAAGAAAAACTAACATATGCTACCTGATCAAAAACCGAAAGCTGGAATTTACAATGATCAAGTTTAACCTGGTTGTGGTTTGGGGAATTTCCATTGGTGAATATTTTTAGCTTCTTAATATTGTTGTCAACAATATTATCTCATTTGTATACATGAAGACTGTAATGTGTAGTGTTTTAAGCCTTCTGTGTACAAGGCGGCAATCTTATGGCTCTGACACTGAGTGGGAGGAGGCAGTGGTCCTCATGGTAAGGTCAAAGCTTGTGTGCTAGCTTGGAGTGAGGTCAGTTGCTTGGAAGGATGGGGGGGGGGGGTGACAACAGACTCACATGAAGCTCATGCTGTGACTCCTGGTGGGATAAATAATAAATTCATAAAATTTCACAGATTTTTGACATGTGACACAATTGAGTTCTGGTTTGATTTAATAGAACTGAATTACATTATTTGATATACAATGTACACTGTTGCAACAAAACAAAGGCAACTCCAAGAGATTATATATAAATGTCATGTATCATATTAGATTGTGTGTTTGGAAGGTTGTTATTGTCGGCCAATGTTGTGTTCTGGTTAAGTTATATGGTCTTGTTGACCTAAAAAGGGGACACTCTGTACTCTTACAATGGAAAGAAAGGGGGGATCAAGTCAACATGGCACCCTTGTGATTTTTAGTTGAGATCAGTCCTTTATCTGTCACTATTGGTTTATTTAAATACCATAAAGCTTGAGGTGCAGTTGGCTGTCTGCCCAAAAAGGATTTTTAAAAAAGTGTGTAACCTGGGATTATTGTGACCTTGTTCAGTTGGGAATATTACAGCTTTTATTAGACATATTGGGTATACCCAGGGATTTTTGGTCACAGATGTTCAAAACCTTCAAATACATGGAATTATAAAATGATCATGACAAAAACAGTACTGTTCTTTTATCTGTGTGGAGACAACATGGATCAGCTTGTTTAATGGACATTTAGGGACAAAAAATGTTCTACTTTTCCATGTGGATTTCATAAGCTGTTTGGTTGTGTAATGCTTTAATCTAGGACAGCTTAAGAATTTTTGGGTGATGTTGTTGTGTATTACCTGTGGGATGGGAAGGTCCGCCCGAGAAACGGCAAAGGTAACAATAGAAGTTCACCTGGTAATAGGAGAAGTTTATTTAAATTGAAAACATTGGCCATGACTCATTTTAAAGTTCATACTTTTATTTGGTGTAGAATTATATACAAGAATAAACATTTAATTTACATTGAGGGTAGATGTTGAAACATTCTTCATTCATTAGAATAAAATTGTGTGGTATTTATAAAAATCATATTAAATAAATTTATTTATAAATTAATAAATAAATTTGAATACGGAATGAATATTAAGACAGGAAAATATGTGTTATCATCCAGTCAAGAAAGGTTAATATTAAAATTCCATGTTTATTATTTTGAAATGAAAGCATCATCAGTGAATGAATTATTTTTGGCTATTTGCATTAGAGTTGAGAAAGTTCATCTCATTTTATGCTTTGAACGTTGAAAACACCAGTATTTATTAAGTACCTATTTTATTCACACCTAATTAGTGTTTTTGCCCAGGAGGAATTTTTTCTCTCACACTCTGTATGTAGTCTGCCTTGGTTGACTGCTGAAGTGTATAAATTCCTGTAGGTTTTATTAACTATTAATTAGTAAGCTGTTGTGGGATTGTTTTTCCTAATTAATCTTTTTGCACTAGTTGTATAATGGGGTCACTGTATCAGTTGTGATTGATCTTCAAACACACAACCTTATTTGTAAATATACCCCAGGCATATGCACCGAGTTGTACTGCACTTTAAATAGATGTTATTGATAAAGTGATGGTGAAATTTAAATTAACATTTCAGAGGCATTTTTAAGGTAAAATTACCAGATACATCTTGGGGCAAGAAGATCAAGGCCAAGTTTCCTGTAAATGATGCTGCTCAATTAAAAATGTTATCCACCTTACAAATAATTCCCTACAATTCTTCGATTTAAGCTTCTTAAATCAGAGGCATACCTTGCCAATACAGTTGTATGATGCAGCTAGAGGCAAAACTTGCCTATATGATGCAGCTATTTTTGAAAAGTTGGCAAATAAACCTATGAATACACAGTCATTTATTTTTGTTTATGTTTCAGGGTGTCAGCCAAGGTAGTGAAGAGTCATTAGAGAGGCGGTCCAGTCTACCACGGATGAAAAGTTACGATGCTGTTGTTTTCGAAATTTTGCGAGTGTCTCCAGAAGATTTCGCAGTAAGACCTGTTATTATGACAAGAAAAAATACCTTTGTATTTTTCCTCTTTTTTATGCTATATAATTAAGACCTTGGTCTGTACTAATTTTTCATGTTTGTAGATGTTAGCATCTGCAGCTCTGATGTACATTACATTGACAAATTATTATTATTAATTAACAGTACATGTATATGTATTTCAAATATAATGGATTGTGATTGATATCATTAACAATCAGAGCAAAAAAATCCCTTATATTTTCAATGTTAATTTTGTTCTAGATAAGCAAGGTAACTTACTGTCTGTAATATATTTATCTGGAATGTTAATTTCTTTTTTGTAGAGCCAGATAACTTTAATGGATCATCCAGTTTTTAAATCCATACAGCCAGATGTAAGAGTTAAAATGTTATATGTTTCAATTACATTATTTGGAAGAAATATTCATAAATTCTTCAAAGTCAGGCATTCCATTCAAGTCAAAACTCATAATTGCCCTAAATGATTTTATTTCTAGTAAGAAACAGTTTAATAAGGAAATCCAATACAGAGCAATAGATTGCCTTTTAATTGAAGACCACAAGGAATTGTCTGCATTTGACAGTAAATCTTGGGATTCGTAATGGACTATCAAAAACTTATTTTATTTTTTAAATTGTTTTTAGGAATTAACTTCTTGTGCATGGACAACAAAAGAAAAACTAATAAAAGCCCCAAATGTGGTGGCTTTTACAAGGCGCTTCAATCATGTAAGTTCTTTTACTGCTTTTGAAAATAAGACATTAATGAAGTTAAGTCTAGACAACTGTCTCAAATGAAATTAACAATGAAATATTAAAGGTATAGAAGACAGGGAAGTCATGAATTTATTGATACACTTGTTTAGATAGCTGAAAAATGAATTTTCAACTGAAGTCTTTTGTACATTTGTACATGTGGGTGACTCCCGATTAAAAGATTGTAAACAGAGTATATATACACATATACTGGTAATAATTACGTGATAAGGCATTATATGTAATAGGATTTAGTCAAATTGATTTTTAACTCAATTAATTAATATTTGATCAAATGCTTATTTTTTTAGGTAAATTTCTGGGTGCAACAAGAAATCCTGAACTGTCAGACTTTGAAGACTAGAGCAGATGTACTGGCTCACTATATCAAAATTGCTAAGGTACAGTTTACTGTTAGAACACAAAATGTCTCTGAAACCCATCGTGGTTTTCCCTATTTTTCTTTTTTGTTTTAGTGTATAATTATTTTAGAACATGAATATATGTGGAAGTTTGAATCTTTCAGAAACTACTGGATCTAAACAATCTTCATGCTGTCATGGCAGTTATTTCAGCTCTCCAAAGTGCAGCTATCTTTCGCTTGTCCAAAACTTGGATGGTAAGTACAGTAGGACTGAAGATACTGATATTACTTTAAACCTTTATCAATGTGCTTAAAGGGCTGTTGTATTAAAAGTTAAAATTTGAGAGACTTTGTTTTCAAATTTCAGATGTTATCCCGAAAAGACAAAGCAACTTATGAGAAAATGGCAGACCTTTTTAGTGAAAACGACAACCGACAGAGATTACGGGATTACATGGCTAGTATTAAGTTGCCTTGCATACCATATTTAGGTAAGCTTTTGATGAAGTCTTCACATTTTGAATACTTGTTAAAGTGTTCAAAGGTAACCACATATATGTGTCCTTTTGTTACACCTGCAGAGTGTATGCACTGCGGTTATTCTTTGTGCACAAGTTTTGATAAATGACACCCCTCCCAATTTAATGATAGATGATTTTTTTTAACCCCCAAACAACCTAAATATAAATGATTAAGAAACAGCTGCCAGCAGTACATTTATCAGGTTTCTTCAGGATGTGTGTGGGGAGAAGGAATTATTTTTAAGTGCTCCTATCATTTTAATGCATTATTATACTTTATGGTTCTGGGTGTTGTAGAAAAATTACAATCTCATATTAGTAAGCTATATGTATGAATAATTCTCTGTAGGAATAAAGTTGTAAAAAATCACCCAAGGCAATCTGAAATGTTAGATGTACGAGAGCCCCCAGCATACTGAAATATCAAAAACATCTGCTCAAGCAGTTAGCATGAAAAATTAAGTGTATTTTGATTTGCTTCAGAAGTGCCCTTGAATTTATGCATGTAATAAGGTCATAAAGAACCAAACGCTTTTGATGATGGGAGTTCACACCTAAGTGGAAAACCTCATTAGTGCTTCATTTTGTTTGCTTTCCTTTTTTTGGCAAACTTTATTATTGGAATACTAAATCACTTCAGAAGTTAGAAAAATATCAGTCATTTGTGTTGCCTGAAATAGAGTTACTGATACATCAAAAGTCCTTTATCTTATTGTTGTATATAAAAGGTGAATAGTTTCCTATAAAGGACAGATTGAAATGATTACATATACCTGTAGAATAAACTATTAGATTTCTAGCTTAAATTTTCACAACAATGTATGAGCTTAAGTAAATAAATGCGGGTACACTCAATAAAAGAAAGAAGTAAAAACTTGTAGAAAGAGCACATTGCTGTATATATTATATGATCTTCTGAGAGTTGCTTTGTGTCTAATTTTAAGATGATGTCTGTTATTGTATGTGTTTGTTCTTTATGTTATAGGCCTTTACTTGTCAGACCTGATCTACATAGACGTAGCACATCCCCATTCTGGGGGCATGGAATCACATACACGTAGAATGCAGATGAACAATATACTACGAACCATCTCAGAATATCAACAGTCTAGTTATGGTAGGCTCACTCTTTATTTGAATTTTTAAAATATTTTTTAAAAAACTGGGAAAATATCCTCTAAGAATATTTCAAGAGCAACAAGATTTTTTTTTTTTCAATATTTAATGTAAACTTGATCCTAGTTTTTCTTTGCCTTTCTTTGCAGATCACCTTCCTATGTTGGAACATGTGCAAAATTACCTTAAATCTGTTCGATACATAGAAGAGCTCCAGAAGTTTGTAGAAGATGACAACTATAAGTAAGTCATATAAAGAATTGTAGAAGCAAATCCAGTTAAAACTGTGTGTCTAAAAGCAACCTAGAGTTTCTTCATAATTTAAAAAAAAATTAATGTGCTTCAGAAAGAAATAGTTTTAATAAAACAGTAATGAAAGTTTATGATGAAATGTCTAATGAAAATTTAATTTTACATCCTTGGGTAACTACCATCTCTTCCTTAAATTAAGTTCATTAGGTATGTAAAATTAAAAAAAAAAAAAAAAAAATGATTTCCTTTACAGATTGTCATTAAAAGTGGAGCCTCCACTTCAAGGCCAGCATCTTTCCACATCTAAGGAGGACGTTCGTATCAATGTGGCTCCTCCTTCACCGGCACCGGAACCCCGTAATAACATCACACACACACCAAGCTTCACCGCTACGACATCCAAATTCCACCCGTGCCACAGAAAGACTAAAAGCTTAAATGCAAAGTAAGCTAGTGCAACCACATAAAAAAAATCTCAGTACTTCACATTGATATAAAGGGATGAAAAAGATACAAGTCCCTTGCTTTTTCATTAGGAAAAAAATTAGTTTCAGTATCACAAGACGCTTTGACATAAATAATATATTTTTTAGGTCAACATATTTTAATAATAATATTTTAATTTTAAATATTGATCTTTTTTTCAGTTTTATGAGCAATGGACAGAAATCAATTGCTGAAAAAACATTTAGTCTTCCATCAAAAACTACAGCCCCATATATCCAGGGGATTCGCCATTTATTAGACGACAGTGTGTTAGAGGAGTCGCCTTGTGCTTCCAGTGATGGCTCTATATGTGGAAAGATTCTTGGAGGTAGACAATTAATCCTGTTCTTTGATTCAATTTTTCCTTAATTAATATACCATAAATAAACTGTACTAAAGGTGATGAGAATTTAAACTTTAGAGAAAAGATATACATTCAGTTCTTTTTAGTGAGAGAGGGTAGATAACTCTCCTATTGATTATTTTGCAGATAACAGTGAAACACCTGCTGAATCAGTATTTCCTTCATCAGATTCAGAATCCCAAAATAAAATGTAAGTTAAAAAAAATAAAAATCAATATTTAATAAAAGAAGAAAAAAAGGCCATATATGACAGCCTAATTTGATGTAGAGGAAGACTTTATTTTATTCTTTCTTTTGCAGAATATTCAGTAGGGATTTAACGGTAGATGATTTAAACAACTTCCAGCAAAGCATTACATGTGAAGGGTGCTTACGAAGAAAAACAATACTCAAGGATGGGAAAAAGCCAACAGTAAGTAAACAACTGCTGTGAAGCCAATGTTTCACTTTGTAAGCACATTGAGTAATGAGACCACCAAGTTAAGCTTCTTCTGTACTTGCAGGTTGGTGCATGGACACGGTATTGGGTATCATTATGGGGAACATCTTTACTTTATTACCCAAACAAATCTTTACGAGGCAATGACAGATCATCGGTAAGAACTTTTAAATTATAGTTTGAAGTTAAATATGTTAGTGTGCTGATATTGCTGTCAGATGTTTGATATATTCCATATCATCTGGGATTTCTTTATATATATATATATATATATATATATATATTTTTTTTTCAGTTTAAGGCAGAGCCCAGTAAAATGACCTCTGTTGTTGGCTGGATGGTTGTCATGGGTGACAACCCTCTACAGCCAGATGCATTCCAATTGTCAGACCCAATGAAAGGTTCGTTAAAACATCAAATCTAAAACAACTAGTGAAAGGATGAAAGACATCACGATACATTTTATAAAGACTTGAATGGCAACTTTCATGTTGATTATTTAATACTCTTTACAGGGAATGTATACAAATTCAGAGCTGGGTCACAGGCAGATGCATTGATGTGGTGTCGTCATCTAAACGAGGCCACAAAGAGATACCAGCCACAGGTATTTAATATATTTATGTATTAATTTCATGTAACATATTCTTATGCATTAAGTATAGAAACCATATTATACTGGTATTAATTAGTGCAGTATTAAGAATTGCAGTTAGCAATTGATACCGCATAACTTATTTTGTGGAAATGTTGACTCGCTTAATTTGAGAGAATTTTAGTTTTAAATTCAATTACATTTTAGACTCCTGCCAACCTGATGTCATTTGACTGATCTTCCAAACATACAATTGACTCTGTCTGTGATAATATGGATCTCCAAAGAGCTTGACAGTGCTCAGTGTTATGCCTCAGCGATTTTGCAAACTGTTTGGCAAAATTCCCTGCTCATTTGATAGCAAAGAGCATTGCAGGAACCTTAATAACAGGTTTCCATCTTGCCAAGGAATAGTCGAAGCCAGATTAGCCAACTGAATATTCTACAAAAAAAAAAAAATTGTGCCAAACACACCCATCCATGGTGGCTGGGATCACTCCATGCTGCTACAAGTAAAATCTCAGTATTCTGTAGACTGTGTAGATTGGACATTCCAAGAGGTGCAAACAAAGTGGTGTTTCTTCAACACTACAGATTAGCATTTATTGCTTGAATGGAAACTCAACAAGTTGCCATAGACTCTGCCAGTTCTCACATTCCTCATTCATTTTCCTTGGAACACTTATTTTTATCTAGTCTTGCAACTATTTTCTTTTTTTCTGACATTCCAGAAAAGATTTTTTTTATAAATTGTTATCTGCACTGGTTGTCCATTATGAATAGGCTCATGAATAAGATGTCCATGATAATTTCTTTTTGAACAGGGTTTATATTCCATAAAGCTTCTCTCTAAATTTTCAGATTTTTCGTTGACAAAAGTGACATTTCTTTGAGTTTCTTACCTGAAATAACTGCCACCTCCCACACCTTGTACCTAGAAAGACATCTTAATCCTGTGTGAAATCAATGCAATTTTAAACTGCAATACTTTGTGCTTTTAAACCTCTGCCTAATGAAAGGGGTTCCTAGTCAGTTATATTAACTATGTAGCATGTTTGTTGATAAGTTAATTTTTGAAAGAGGTGTAAATTTTAACCTTACTTTTATTGCTGAAAATTATTTTTAGAAAAATATACTATTTGTACACCATTATGTTTTATATTTGCATCCATAATTACTGACCAACTTCACTGTGCTTTTATCTTGGCTGCTGATTAAGTATTGAGGTGCAAATATTCATGATTTAAGACAAAGCCAAATTGGAGTTAAATATTTGGAATGAATTTCGTTTTAAAATGTTCTTGGATATTATATGTGCTTTAATCATTAGGAGCTAAGTATGCAACACAAAATTATAATTTGAAGAAAATACTTTGAAAAAAAAAGTTTTTTTAAGATGCAAAATCAGCGTTTTTTTCTTACAAGAATTTAGATGCCCAGTAGTGCTAGTTTGTTTGAAATATTTTCTTGTTAAATGAGAAAACAGGGGAAAAAACTGTGCAATAGGTTGTCATGCAAAACTACATGTGTTGCTATAATATTTAGTCAAAGAAAATTGTTTAACAAAAAAATAATTCAACATTTTTGTTTGACTTTTGTATTTGCAATGTGCATTATTCCTCAAGCATAATTAATATTTTAATTAATCATATGACTCATTATACATCATGTTCATAACAATAAACTACAAAATGCTCATATAAAAACAAGAAAATGCATAAAAATGATGAAATAAAAACTGTTAAATATTATTTTTTTGTTTTTGTTTGTTCTATTGAAAATTTTGTATATACATGTGTATATATATAGAGAGAAGGAGAGAGATAAGGGTAAACAGAGAACATGTATATGCAAACTGCAATAAAGCAACTTGGAAAGGTTACAGTACATACTGCATATTTTAACAAGGTCTCTTTTATAGTGGAATCAATGGAGGTAGACAAAAATCATACCCCCAGAAGAGTACCATTCACGAAGATGTAAATGGGTGCTTGTATCACAAAAAATGTAGAGATTTACAAAAAGCTTGTGTAATGGACTAGAAAAAACAAAAGATTGCTGGATAAATGTAGATTACAATATCTGTATAATTACCGTCAGCCATTACTGTTTTTTAGGTTAATTAAAACAAGCTTGCCGATTATATGAAAACGTATTACTATAATAAAAATTTAAAGTTAAAAAATGTTGATTAAGCAAGTTTTTTTTGAAAATTCAGTTTAAATATTTATGATTTTTAAATGTTGATTTAAAAAAAAAATCCCTAAACAAGTGATTGATTTATTACCATGTACATGTATTTCTGTTTAGGACAGTGGATTGCATTTAAATACATTCTGTGTTTCTTCTTTTCTCCTACAATGTAAAATTTTGAAAGTATCAAAATAATTTGAAAGTACTCTTTTCTTCGTTTAAAAAACTAAAATAAGGGGGAAAAAAGGAAAGCGGATGAAAGATCGCAAAAAGTGCTAATTTTGAACATTAACGTTTAAGATAAAAAATATAAACATATTAGACCTATAGACATTGCCATATAATCGCGACAATGTTTGATACACAGTGTATCATTTCCATGCATCAGTTGCTTGCAGTCTTCTCCCCGCTGGAACTGTTTAAGGCGTGTTCAATCACTGTGCAAGTTTCAATAATGTGGAATTAACCTGTTGGAGATACTCCCTTATTGAGTGGCGGACGGTCGGAGTGGAGCGGGTACAAAGCCTGCGGTCGCCGTTGACGTGCAAAAACGTCAGAACTGGCGCCATTATGAAAAGTGAAAATTTTGCCGCCCCAACTAATCTTGATTTTCGATACTTGAAAATCGAATTAAATGTCAAGCTAACAACTTATCCATAGCACAATGCTTCTAGTTCACCAGACACGTTATATAAAAGCAACATTGGTAAGTACAAGAAGCATTGTACCGTTAATATAAGATGTGACTTACACATTTAATTCGGTTCGCTTGCATCGAAAATCGACCCGAGAATGCCGCCTACTGTTGGAGGCGGCGAATACAGGACGCGGCGAATTCTAACGTTTTCCTGGACCGTCAAATATCAAAGTCGTGAATAACGCCTGGAAAACGTCAGATATTTCGGACTGCATTCCAAGAAGCAAGACAAAAATTACAAGCTCAACAATTATCTGGTTAATCCAATTAACAAATGATATGTACATGTATCAAACATTAAGAAGTGTGAATCGATAACCCCCTCCATACCTAAATTAAGAAAATTAGTAAGAGCTTATAATTTCTCCAAAGTATGAGATTTCCAAGGCGTTTAGAGATAGGCCATGTACGCTATAATGAAAATACACTTGTAAGGTAGAAACTTGTGTATTTTAATTATACATGGTCAATCTCTAAACATAAGAAGAACTACAATCTGCTGGCATAGAATGACATCTGAATGTGATTGACTGGGGAATCTCATATTTTTGAGAAATTATAAGCTCTTAGTAATTTACTTCAGGTGCATGTGTGTACAATCACTGTGCAAAGTTTCAAATTAACGCGCTGACTTCAACTTTTCTGTCGTCAACTTCCCTTGTTATATAGCAATATACCCCTATCACCTGCATATGGAGTTTATGTCTCCCAGTTGATTGGATACGCAAGAGCATGCTCTCCGTACGAACAATTTGTAAAAACGAAGCAAGCAAGTGACAAACAAGTTGATGAAACAAGGATATGAACAGTCTCGTTTGAAGTCATTTCGCAAGTTCTGTGGTCGATACTATTACCTTATCGGCAAATACAATACTAGTATATCATTAAGAGGAATGCTGACCGACGTTTTTCTTATTAATTGTTAGCCCTTTTTTTACACACTGAATTGTCTACGGACTTTTCCGTTTGCCCGATCATGACAAGGAGCACACGGCGGTGTGTGACCGATAGGCAGGGGATGCTTACTCTATGGCACACCTGATCCCACCACTGATGCTTTTGGTACGTTGCCTATGTCCTTAAGCTTGATGGAGTCGGGGAAAAAAATTCAAGTTCAGCAACAGATAAAAGAACATTCTATTTTTCTGAACTAATCTGAAACATAGACGTATATAGGAGAGAGTACGTGTATGTCTGAAATAGGAAATTCACTCAAGTGTAACGAGCTTTTTGGGGTAGTGGAATAAGACAAAGTAACTGAAAGAAATATGGCGGAATATGACGAATGGGTATGGGAAACAGGTCATACAACATGAAAATATTGCATGTTCCAGAATTCATGTCAGCTTTGATAATCTCATGGAATTCCTCCCACTCTTTAAAGCACATATGATCAACTTAGTGTGCGTACTTACTGTCTTCCAAGTGCAAGGCATGTTCTAAAAACGACTACATACTTCATAGTTAACTGAAGCAAATGACTCGCAGCTTTGTTAGCAATAATAAAAGTTTGAGAAAGAGAAGAAAAGCGATCGGTCTCAACTATAAAATAAAGGAGGCCTATAAGTTTAGACTAAAACCTGCTTCTGGAATGGAAGAAAATGGTGGAAAGGTGGACCATGTGGAATAAACTTATCTTCAGATAAAGGAAGCTTAGAAACGCTTGAGGCAAACTTAGACTAGCGGCTCAACTTCGAAATGAATGATGCGTGAAAAAGAATGGAAGGACAAGACGGTTGTACCAGCATAAATTTTATAGATTGATCAAGGAACAATTAGAAAAAATAGGGCCTGGTATATAACATGTATATTAGGCTTGATGGTATATAACTCGACACACGTGACAATTAAAAAGGGATAGCAGAATACTTGACAGTCTACCACACCTTCAGTCAAAAACAGGAACCATCATTACAAAAACCAAGTCCGACGAATGTGGCAAACTCTTGATTAAGAAAATATGTCAAATCAGAGCACAATCCATGAATATACATGTATGAGATCGGTTCGCGTCAGCTTATGTCTTCTTAGGAATGGATAATACAGGATGAATGATTAGTGATCCAATACGTTCAGAGGTAACTTGTTAATATCAGTTTTGAAAATGATTCTTTTGTACCATCTTCAGCCCCTGTATACTTTTTAGATATGATCTAGTTACTACAAACAAAAATAAGCAGAGGACCATCGGCATGGCTGAGGACATCATCAATTTTTACTGATGGAAACCTCTCTACTCAGAAAAGGTGGGTCAGGATCCCCTCGACCCCCCCCCCCCCTCTTTACCTATGCTTCATAATTACATTATAAATCTTTTCGTTTACGAGTTAATATTGTTTCTTACTTGGACCAGTTCATAGTAGCGGGTATGGCGATTCAGTAGCATGTGACAGCCAAGACACATGATTTAAAAATAAATTAATGGTACGTTTAGGCTTTCGTAACTGTCGTATGGACTTCCAAAGAGAAAGTAGACAACATGGCCGAGTTAACTACAAGAACCCTCGGTATCTTTTGTGATTGTATCGATATTTTGATACAGGAACACGAACCAACAAAGACAGTGTTTGAAATAATAAGATCACGAATGGTACAATTTGTAGAAATACTAAGAGAAAAGTCAAAAGGCGAGGGTGACGTGGCACAGACTGGAAGCTCGTATGATGGCCTTCATTTAAGCAGACTGCTACAACTATCGTCTGGAAAACATGTTTTTTATCCACCAATCGATTTCGATTTCATGATGACGTATGTTAAGTACAAAATTCTTGACAAGTCTGATGACAAATCAGGAGCAAACGAAGTGAAATCGTTGGTGGAAACTTCTCAAGATTTCGCTATCATGGTTCCTTCTTCATATCCAGGGTATGTTAAATTACTTATCACTGAAAATGGAAAACAGCTTATCAAAAAGCCAAAGTGCGAATTTGAGAAATATATTACGGAAGACGGTTACATTCCGAACTTTGTTTTTAAAACAAAATTGTTTCCAGGGCAATATGATAAGGTCGAGGTTCTCTATCAACGCGAAAATGCTAAATACGTCACATCCGGTCCAGCGTTGTCAGACTACAGTCATGAATCGGATGGATATTCCTACGACTTTGTTCATTCTTTTCCATGCTTAACATGGCCTAATGTAGCTATTAACTGGACCCGTCGAACAAAGCCAACAGGATGGCCATCAAACGAACTGATCAGGGAAATAACCAAAGGTAACATTTAGCTGCCTATAATCATGCGAATTATTCACGATTACAGTTTTCCTTTTTGAGCCACTTTGAGGAGGTATAATTATTGTTTCTCATGAATCACTGTATTTTGCATCCACTGTTAGTGAAAGGATTGGCTATGCGCCATGGAACTAGAAGGGATTGATTGATTTTTTCGGTTTGTTAGAGCTTGATGTATTAGCAATAGCAGTACACTATCTAGAAAGCCCTTTTTGGCTAAATATATAAAGCACTGCTTGTGAAATCACGTTGCCTCTAAACTCATTTTTTAGAAGTTCGACAGTGTCTTTCCTGGTACAATGTTGCCGGGTTCTCTCCACAGACAGTATAAAACTGTATGCTATCATATCAATATTTTTGAAAAAAGTGTCTCGATTGGTGAAAAACAATAACGGCAACAAAAAGGAGCAATATTTTAGCTATCCTTGGGCTTAATTGATACATTTGTATAGTAATAAAAATTCTACATTCATGATATATAAATAACTCTAATTAATCAATCTATTTTCTTCAAGAGTTCAAGAGATGGTATGTTTTGCTCTCTATTACCAAATACATATTTTCTTCTTGCTCTGAGAAATTGGCACTTTCACATTTGACACGTAATATTTCATTTTATTGGATGCTTTGATTTACCTTATTTCTTTTGCTACCGAATTAAGCCAGAGTACATGTATGCACAATGTTTTTAGATGGATGTGGCGTTGTTCCTATTGGGCATCACCTAAGTGGAGAGGCCGATCTAGAGTGGAGAATTTCCTACAATTCTGCAGAAAGAAAGTTATCTCGTTCACTGTCTCCAAGACAACGATCTTGCTATTCATTGGTGAAATTCCTATTGAAAACGGGACTTAGCCAGACTGCTATTCTGACGTCATACCATGTCAAAAATATCATGTTTTGGTATTGTGAGCAAATGTATGGAGTTGACGAGTGGACGGAGGAGTTGCAAGGACAGCGAATTCTTGATTTTATTGACTATATAATAAAATGTCTGGCTAATTACAACATTCCTCAATATTTCCATCCTCCAAATAATCTCATAGTACACAGATCCAAGGACGACATAGACAAGACACAAAAAGAAGTCGTCCTAGTGAAGGAAAGAATTTTTCATACCTTTGTTCTGACGTTATGCAAGCAACAGTTTTTTGACAAAATGAAAGGGGTGTCTGAACGCGGGGAAGTAGAAAACATGCTTCTACTGTATACAACGTTTGTACAAACTTTATATAAGCTTGGATTTATGAATATTCAGCAGCCAATCGCCGAGAGATGTTTTTATAATGTTGTTTCTCTCAACAGAAGTGTTCGATCACTTGTAAAGGTTGCTTCTCCTGCCTACTCTGCGCAGTCCGTACCCGAATTGCTCAAATCATTTGGTTTGGCATACACCCGTGCTGGAGAGACGGAAAATGCTTTAGCCGTTTATGAAATCATGGTACGTACTGACAAAACAACAGTAGAATCACAATATCCAGAGGTTTATACAAACATCGGTTGTTTATACAATTTGAAATACAGCACCTCAACAAAAGAAAATGACAAGAGTACTTTTCTATCACGGAGTGAAGACTATTTTCAGAAAGCATTAGGACTGATAAATGACTCTCCAAGCCTACACACAGCGTACGGATGTTTTCTGCTGTTCTCGAAATCCAATCCGAAACTGGCAATTGAACAATTTCAGGCATCCCTTGCTATTTCAAAACCGCGAACAGAGGACGATATGATTGTACAGCTTGAGTTACCTAGTCGGTCAGAAGTTAAGCCATTAAAGTCAAATATGGCGGGAAAAGTTGCTTCCTGCTATTTGATCTGTGATTGCATGATTAAGGCAGACGATATTTACGAAGCAAGACGAGTTGCGTCGTTACTAGAGAAGATTGTTAAAACATCTCCAATGAAACAAAAACAATCTGATTTGCAAATTTGTTCCCTTGTTTATGAAAAATGTGGTTTGCACGTGAAAGCAGAATTGGTTAAGAACGAATCAACTAGGTACGCTGGCATGTAGCCGGTGAGGAAAATCGATATGACGTCAAAGCTTACTCTATTACGTCCCAGCCCCAGGATCGTGATAAAGATATATATAGACTTAAGTAAAATTTTCAACCGGCTGTAAAATGTTTATTAATTATTGAATTAATATCTAAATTTGCAGATAACAACACTTTTGTGAAGCAATATTGAAAAAAAAAAAAATTTAAGTTTCTACAAACTGCATTGATTGATTTTGAAGTTTGTCTCTGTAACGGTCATAATGGGACCACTGTTTTTGAACTCTACGGAGACAATTTGCATGTAACCCTTGAGGAGACAATTTGCATGTAATCCTTGACAAGGACCGTTATTTAACGTACTCATCCAATGTACCACAAATTAAAAAACGCATGTAAATGTAAATATACACAATTAAACAAAATACACTCAACTATATGTAAATATATACAATTAAGCATTATGTACTCAGTAAGAGGTAAATATACACAACGATATGTTATTGTTAAAACGTGCACGTATACAAACAAACACTTATATATAAATTTGTGGAATCGTTGTTATATAGATGCTATATGTTAACATATGTTAATTGTTATATAGACATGCAGAGAACAAATAACCAGTTTTCTAAATGTTATGGGTCTAGTCACAATATCTACACATAATGATACTACTTTCATAAATGCATTTCAACACATGTCTCTTGTAAATAATATAAGCAACACAAAACAACAATTGCTTTTTTAAATCATATTTCATAAATAAATTGAATGTTTGTGTCAATTCAGTCCTTTGGTTATTTTACCATGTCTATAATAAACGATGTTTTATTTCAGCTGTGTAGTTTTAAAACTTTTCTTATTTTGTCTGTTATTGTAGGCTTAAAATCTTCATTCTTAACTCTAAACGATATTCTGTATTTTTTCTTCATCCACTTTTTACTCACATTAAATTTGTAAGTCTCCTAGAAAATACCAATGCATACATGCCTTGAACATTTCGGTAACAACATGACCTTATCGACGAGTACTGACTTGACAAGGTACAAGTTCATCACGGTCTCTCATAATCCCATCATTAAGATTATGGTTAACTGAAATCATAAATATAATTATTATTATTTAGTAAAATTGATACAGTTTGATCTTTAAAAACTAAAGTGGCCCAGTGTCTACTTACCTTTTCTGACCAAATTCCTACAACTTTCTATATCATTCAATGAAATTGGTCTTTCTGTCTGAGTAGAAATCTTTCACTCTGCCCTTGAGAGATCTGAAACGACGGAAGGTGTTGATAAAGGATGATGTGCTCATTTCTTTGATCACTTCTATATGAACACCACGGCATGATAAACATGCAAATAGCACATCGTTTGAAATTCATAGAATCAACAAGTGTTCAGCGGGTGACCACATTCCAGGGTTCGAAGAGGTGGATGCCAACATGAGTAAACTATGGACAAGAAGTCGTCCGTTCCTCTTGTAAGTCTGCCATCTTTTGAGAAACAAAGGTGTCACAAAATCAACGACACTTTACAAAACCAGACAGAATCAAATGTACCAGTCGTTTGCAGCTTTGGATCCATTATCTTGCAGCTCTGATCGCTTCGGCAGTCAAACGACGTCCTTGATGATGAATAATTGCATGCTAATGAAGCACCAAAGTTTTGCAATATGATGTTGATTGGGAATAAGAATTGGGTTCTCCTTTCCCAGGTTAAGGACATACGCAACGTACCTTACCTACTGATAATTTTTCAGGTTATTCTTAATTTAAAATTATAGTACCATTAGATGTTCGTAGACAAAAAATCAGCATGCATTACCAGGGGTTTTGAATAGACATTTATTGATGAAAATTCTTGTATAATTCAAAGAGAAATATACAAAAATTACTAAATATATATTTTAGATGTTTTTTCATCCTATTTTGTATTAGAAGAAGTGTCCAGCACCATATATAGACATTAAAAGAGTAATACACATGTCTTTCAAGTACTACTGGAACAGGAAAAAAGACAGTAAAGTTCAAACTAACTTGCGTATGTCCTTAAATCTGAATGATGAACATTTTTGTTTCTTTGTGAAATTCTGGTTCTTTGGTTACTCTAGATCTGTTCACTTGGGAATTGCTTCTGATGAAACAACGTCACAATAGCTTTCATTAACTATAGATTATCCCAGGTAGAAAAATTTAGAAAAACGAATCGAGTTTAATATCTCAGATGAAATTTGAGTTTTGCTGAAAAAACTTTGTCAAATTTCTTTTCTTACTTTAAGGGTCGATGAGGGGGGAAAGCAGTCTTGGTTTTCTTCTGACGCATTTCTTAACTTCAGCGGGAAACGGGAAAAGAGATATATGTCCATCATCAACGTAAACGTTCTTGTACTAAACAAATTCACGAACATAACCATCACCGAAAGCTGATGCTTAACAAAGGCCATAGGCGGCCACAGCTGGAGATGGTATATTTCCGAAAACGCGAGCTTTCATACAATATCAATGGTTTTTGAAAGACATTATCTTCTTACTTGAAGAATCTGAGATACTCAAGATGTTTTTAATGAACACAGAATCTGCTGAATGTCACCACTGATCCTATAGCATTTCTCTTGGAAACGCACGGGGTTTCCCTCAAGATTGTTAGTTAAGTTTGGTCCAGACAGTAACACATTGTTCAACGAAACTTTCTTGTACACAGCCGACGAATCGAAAATTCCTCGAATATAATCCGGCTTTTTAGAACTGTACTCTCCAAAAAGAGCTAAATATCAGCATTACCTGGATATGTCAGAAAGAACAACATCCATACCCCGCTCGCTCAGACTATCGACATGAATGCAAAAAAGTATGCTCTTTATGATGTTTCTGCAGACCAGTGTTCAGGATCTGAGGTACATTTCCAAGTCTGTGAATAATTGTTGGGCATTAATGTTTAAGAACCTTTGAAAAGTAGCAGAGAGGACCAACAATCATCAGTATTCTTATGAAACTATCAGAATTTTGCGGTCCTCAACAAAATGTCCAATCTTTATCTTGTTGGCGAATCGTGTTGGTAAGAATATGTCATCATCATTGTTCTTGACACTGTTGTTCTGACACATTTGGAAAGATCGTTCATCGTTTATCATTGAGAATATGCGTTTTGTTTGCATTCACTTCCTTGTGGAACGAACTTTACCAATACAAACTTCATTAATGACAACCAATCCAAATGATAGAAATTGAGCAGAAGGCTTACTTCTGCTGCCATTTATTTGATCGTGCACCTGATGTGCATTAGGTGCGTAACGTCCAATAAGAAATTCAATATTATATCACGAACAAGGGGAGATATGAAGGATGCGATGTGCTGTGGAAGCGGATGTGATTGAGAGACATTTGAATTATGTATTTCAAGATGTTTACTTGGAATTGAATCACATTCAATAACTTCATGTTAGTTGAATGACATTGTTCTATTCAAGAATTTTACACACACTATCCGTTCACACAACGTCCATTGAATGTTGAAACACCGGAGTTTGAGATGAGTCTTACAATCTCCAAAAACTCCAAGTAGTTCAATAAAGTTAGGGGACACTAAAGTACAATTGCTTTGGCCATCAATAGTAGCATATGCGTGGAATTATTTTTTGGATTTGAAGTAGAAAACACATCCTCAGGAACTATTTTCCCACTTGAACGACGTCCACCAACAGAAGTTCCTCACAGCCGAGTAAAACAATCACGAGAACATAAATTCGCCAATGGACTGTTGATAAAGAGTTTTTACATGCATGAAAGCAATAAAAGAAATAAAAGTGAATAAGCGCATTTTCATTAAGTGAGTAGTGTTTCTCGAATTACGCGATTACCTCGTGTATATTAGGGATGTACAGTAGTATCCACTGCTGTGACGATTTCCTATGTCATTATTTGGTGATTTCCTTCTGAGCCACGGCATCCATTCAGTGTATGTCCAGTGTTATGCAAGTTGGTGAGGAATTTTCAACTTTACAAGCGACGACACTAGTAGGTCTAGGTTTGCTGTATGTAACATTTGTATCCGACGTTTGCTGGCATATAAGTCCTGGGTCATTGTGCAATTCACCCATTTCACGGATAAAATTTACAAAGAATGCAAATGGAGGAAAAGGCACATAACTCCGTTTCTTATTCCCAGCAGCTTGAGTGGTCCACTTATCTCGGTAACTTGCTAACTATCGGCAGTAATCCAGTCGAAGAGTTGAAGTAGCTGAGGAGAAGGATAAACTGTGGATTTGCCATTGCAGATGCAATTTCTCTAAGAATGTCCACTAGATCATATACTAATAATTTGGCATTATCTCTATTTGAGAATTTTGGAAGCAAGTATAGTTTCTTTTTAAGAGCATACTTAGTATTCAATCATCTCTGGTCTTCCGAATCTATCATGCAGTCTGTTCCAATCCTAGATGTGAATCATGGGTGTTTGCGGAGCGTAGTTAGGTGAAAACTGACTACTCTGGGCCCAACCGTTTCACAATTAAGAAAGTTAATCTCCTCAAACGGCGTAACACCAAGTTTTAATAAAATACTGCGAAGTGAAGAACTACAAGAGGTGAAAATCTTTGGACGATCATCAAAGTTTGGGAATCTTGAGAGAGGAAAATCCTTGCACAGCAAAAATGTTTAAAAGTCTGTCATTGCAAAAGTATTTGACACTGGAGAAACAGGATTTGGAGGAAAAACACACGTGGCATTGGATTTGAAGGAATACAGTAGAATCCTTATTAAACGTGAGTAGTATCACAAAATAACTCGTAAAATTCAAATTGCGAGATTATGAATTTGAGAATGGACTGTTTATAAATACATTCTTCATGAATTTCAGCAATATAAAAATAAAATCGATTTTTATTTTGTTTCGAGAGTGGTGCTTCTTGCGCGAAACGAAGTGACAATAATTCTTCGCGTATATTTAGGAATTTATAGTAAATATTTGCGGCACAGAATTTGGAGAAAGATACACAGCTGAATTTTAAGAGACAGGAGGTTGATAGGTACTCATATGATTAAACATACTGATTTGTGTTTTGTGTATCGTGTTCGATGGATTCGATAAACTATTCTCAAAACTTGGTTGATTCTTTTCAGCATGGCCAATACCGTTATCTGTCGAGTAATTCATTATAAAAGCACTGGTCAATTATTCTTTCGTAGAAGCAGAAGATCTAGGTTTTTTTTCTTCCGTTAAATCTGCTTCCGTTACTATATTAAAGTGATTTGGGGCAATTTTTGAAGTCTCAAATTTGACTTTAAAAATACTAATCTAATGGATCGTCTTTTGATCAACCGTATTTGTTTCTTAACATGCATTCTATGTAAGCACCAAAAAATTTATAGGGCTTGGAAACGACATATCTCCGATTTTGATGAAATTTGCACCACAGGTGCATCTTGGCACAAAACTAGCAAATATGGTTTTAGAAGTTTCACACGTGCACCCGGTTGCCATGGAGACGGATCCATAGAATTTGGCCATTTTTGGCCCTTTTTGACCAAATAAAAACATGAAAATTGAGGAAATGTAAATGCATTTTTATCTTTATGTAGTAAACTCAAACATAAATCATTGTATCATAAGAAAGCATCAACTTTTAAGGTGTACAGGGCATATAATCGGTTATTCCAGAATTATTCCCACTCTAAGAAAAAGGTCCTGTAAAATGACATGGTTTCTGAAAATGGGAAAAATGGGAAATTTGGTATTTTTTGAGAACTTTAAGGTTAAATAAAAAAATTGTCTACGGAAATTTTT